CTCTGAAAGCAGTTTAGTATTGCAGATACATTAATCCACTCCCAAACTCCACACTGCTCACCTTTACTACTTCCTTCACCACGTTGTGGACCTGTTTGCCCTCCTTCCCTATACCATTTTAGAATTGTAGATACATAAATGCCACAGACAGTTCCCACACTCTGCACTGCTAGCCTTACTACTTCCTTCACCATTTCCTACGTCATGGACCTGTTTTCCTCCCTTCTCATAGCATTTTAGGATTGTAGATACCTTAATCTAATCCCCATTAACAGTTCCTACGCTCCAGACTGCTCACCTTTACTACTTCCTTCACCACTTCCTACTTCGCGGACCTGTTTCCCTTCCTTCCAACAGCATTTTAGGATTGCAGATACCCTAATGTAATCATCATTAATAGTTCCCACACTCCGGACAGCACGCCTTGACTACTTCCCTCACCACTTCCTACGTCACCGATCTGTTTCCCTCCCTTCCCACGGCATTTTAGGTTTGCAGATACCTTAATCTAATCTGCATTAACAGTTCCCACACTCCAGATTGCTCACCTTTACTACTTCCTTCACCACTTCCGACGTCGCGGACCTGTTTCCCTTCCTTCCAACGGCATTTTAGGATTGCAGATATCCTAATCTAATCGTCATTAACAGTTCTCACACTCCGGACTGCTTGCCTTTACTACTTCCTTCACGACTTCCTTCGTTGCGCACCTATTTCCCTCCCTTTCCATAGCATATTAGGTTTGCAGATACCTTAATCTAATCGTCATAAACAGTTCCCACACTCCGGACTGTTTGCTTTTACTACTTCCTTAACCACTTCCTACGTCGTTGGACCTGTTTCCCTCCCTTCCCATAGCATTTTAGGATTGTATATAACTTAATGTAATAATCGTTGATAGTTCCCACACTCTGGACAGCACGCCTTGACTACTTCTCTCACCACTTCCTACGTCACCGACCTGTTTCCCTCCCTTCCCGTGGTATTTTAGGTTTGCAGATACCTTAATCTAATCGTCATAAACAGTTCCCACACTCCGGACTGCTTGCCTTTACTACTTCCTTCACGACTTCCTTCGTCGCGCACCTATTTCCCTCCCTTTCCATAGCATTTTAGGTTTGCAGATACCTTAATCTAATAGTCATAAACAGTTCCCACACTCCGGACTGTTTGCTTTTACTACTTCCTTCACCACTTCCTACGTCGTGGACCTGTTTTCCTCCCTTCCCATAGCATTTTAGGATTGCAGATACCTTAATGTAATCTTCATTAATAGATCCCACACTCCGGCCAGCTTGCCTCGACCACTTCCTTCACCACTTCCTACGTCGTGGACCTGTTTTCCTCCCTTCCCATAGCATTTTAGGATTGCAGATACCTTAATGTAATCTTCATTAATAGATCCCACACTCCGGCCAGCTTGCCTCGACCACTTCCTTCACCACTTCCTACGTCGTGGACCTGTTTTCCTCCCTTCCCATAGCATTTTAGGATTGTAGATACCTTAATGTAATCTTCATTAATAGATCCCACACTCCGGCCAGCTTGCCTCGACCACTTCCTTCACCACTTCCTACGTCGTGGACCTGTTTTCCTCCCTTCCCATAGCATTTTAGGATTGCAGATACCTTAATCTAATAGTCATAAACAGTTCCCACACTCCGGACTGTTTGCTTTTACTACTTCCTTCACCACTTCCTATGTCGCGGACCTGTTTCCCTCCCTTCCCATAGCATTTTAGGAATGTAGATATCTTAATGTAATCTTCATTAATAGATCCCACACTCCGACCAGCTTGCCTCGACCACTTCCTTCATCACTTCCTACGTCTTGGACCTGTTTTCCTCCCTTCCCATAGCATTTTAGGATTGCAGATACATTAATCTAATCGTCATAAACAGTTCCCACACTCCGGACAGCACGCCTTGACTACTTCCCTCACTACTTCTGCTTGCCTTTACTACTTCCTTCACCACTTCCTACGTAGTGGACCAGTTTCCCTGCCTTCCCATAGCATTTTAGGATTGTAGATACCTTAATCTAATCCTTATTAACAGTTCCCACACTCCGGACAGCTCGCCTTTACTACTTCCTTTACCACTTCCTACGTCGCGGACCTGTTTCCCTACCTTCCCATCGCATTTTAGGATTGCAGATACCTTAATCTAATCTTCATAAACAGTTCCCACACTCCACACTGCTAGCCTTTACTACAATCATAGATAAAAAAAAGTCCTGCTACAATGTATCGAGTAATCTTCAGTATAATCTTTGCTCAATAGTAACAACTGATGATTTTCCTTTTGTACTGTATTTTGTAATTGCTAAAATACTGTGGATAGACTACTTACAAGTCTTTTGTTTACTTTTTCCTTGTTATTCAATTCAACCAACATGGTTACTTAGCAACCCATAAGACTAATGTTAAAAAAATGTGACTTTCAGTTTCATTTTTCTACGTAATTAGATTTTTGTTGGCAGTTCTAAGTGCAGTAAACTCGTTTTTAGGCCAAAAATAAGCTATTTACAAGATTTGAAGAAAATCGTCGGAGCCGTTTTCGAGATCTTTCTGCAAGCAAGCAAGCATACATACATACAAGCAAACATTGCTCGTATTAGAGTATAGGATTTTTAGCCCATTAAGCAATAAGTTTGCGTTCTTCTTTTTTGTTAAAAATCCAAGTTTCCACTCCATATTTTTTTCTAACACCACACAATTTATAAGCTTTTTTTATTTTTTAAGATTATTATACGTATTAAAGCAGTGGCGGCGATAACGGGCCCGGGGTATGAGGGGGCCCGCGAGCTAGAGGGGTCCGTGAGCCTTGACCGGGATTTTTCGGTAAATTTTACCGGGACACGGGTCCGCAATTGTGTGACAGGCTCAGCCACACAGGCCCTCTATCAAAACAATCTAATATATAAAATTCTCGTGTCACAGTGTTTGTCTGCAAACTCCTCCGGAACGACTTCACCGATCGTTATGAAATTTGGTGTGTAAATTCTGTAGGTATGCGAATAGAAAGTAAACTATTTCCCGTTTCGAAATTCTTAAAAGGGCTCCGCCCCAGTGGCTCTGGAGTTTCCCATGTTAACCTTATGAGAAATGGAATTAATGAATCTTAACAGCTGTTTCAATTAAACAAGTTGGTTCTGTTCTATGATGTTCAATACCATTAAAGTTACAAGGATTACCAACAGGTTGCAGCACTATTATTTCTTTTACATTTATGACAACAGCTAATTTGCAACCAAAAGGTAAGTGAGCGTAGCGAACGAACTTAAACCTGGAGGTGAGTTAGCGTAGCGAACGAGCTAACCTGAAGGCAAGTGAGCGCAGCGAACGAGCTCCAACCCAAAGGTGAGTGAGCGTAGCGAACGAACTTCAACCTGGAGGCGAGTTAGCGTAGCGAACGAGCTAACCTGAAGGCAAGTGAGCTCAGCGAACGAGCTCCAACCTAAAGGTGAGTGAGCGTAGCGAACGAGCTCCAACCCAAAGGTGAGTGAGCGTAGCGAACGAACTTCAACCTGGAGGTGAGTTAGCGTAGCGAACGAGCTAACCTGAAGGCAAGTGAGCGCAGCGAACGAGCTCCAACCTAAAGGTGAGTGAGCGTAGCGAACGAGCTCCAACCCAAAGGTGAGTGAGCGTAGCGAACGAACTTCAACCTGGAGGCGAGTTAGCGTAGCGAACGAGCTAACCTGAAGGCAAGTGAGCGCAGCGAACGAGCTCCAACCTAAAGGTGAGTGAGCGTAGCGAACGAGCTCCAACCCAAAGGTGAGTGAGCGTAGCGAACGAACTTCAACCAGGACGTGATTGAGCGATGCGAACGAGATCATCTTGAAAATTAAACGTAGCGGTACTTTCTTTCCATCGGTCTGTCTTAGGGGAAACCTATAACTTAGGCGATACGAAGTTCGCCGGGTCAGCTAGTATCTATATAAGAATTACCATACGTTTTTATGACAAAAATTTGTTAAACCCAGTACGAGCACTAGGATAAGTAGTTTACAACAGCTTAACTGACACTTATTACTGTATTACTTGGTCGATCGATATAAATTCCCTACCAACCTAAGTGAAAGAATTGTCATCAGTAATGCAGGTTCCATCAACTGTCCTCGTCTACTGTGTGAAGGCGCTATATAGGGCATAGAACTAATCCAGGCCCAGGCCTAGGAGGATAAAACATTAATTTCAAGTCTCCGGATTACTGTATAATATTTATAGTGGTCTAGATACCTGCATTTAAGTAATCCAATTTATTGCATGTTGCAACCAACAATGTAAATAACTACTGGATTGCGCTCTCAGTGGCGTAGCGGGCACTGTTTTCAGTCTCGCTTCCCCCACTCTCTACTTGCAAGATAGCGACGACGTACCTCACGTGCATGCTAGCTGTCACCCATTTCAACACTTGTTTGATGTAACAGTGAGCGGTTTAAAAAAAATGTGATTAAAATTTATCAATATATTTAATTGTACGCTAAGTAAGTGTTTAAAATTGTTGTGTCTTGCTCCGATTGAATCTGCACCAACAGAGTACAGAAAGACAGTGACATTTCGTTTTACGTGTAAAGTACCAAATCTAATAGATTATAAACAAGGTGTCTGAGTAAGTTATTACTTATCTCGTTATAGCATGTTTAACTTAACTGAATTTTGTTTTTATTTTGTTGATAGGGCTAAACTAAAACTGTACATTGTAAATCATATATAATAGTAATACTATAGTATACCGTAAATTTAAAGAAGCAAATTTTATAAAACTGTGTCCTCCCCCAAAACGCAGAGCACGAGTATAACTGCAATAAGCATTTTAGCCAACCCCGTATGAAGGACGGGTAGGCTACTCTGCTAGTATGTTAAATAGATGGGATGTCTTATCTTACTGTTCAAAAGAATATTTTAAATACAAAAAAATCAATGACTAGTTAACAGTAGTCATTGTTTTAAACCAAATAACGATAATCTTACAAAAATATTGATGTTAATGCCTTACTCGAAAGAGGTGTTGGGGTCCCCGTATATCCCCGATAGTGACAGAGAACTATTTCCAATGGAGAAATTCCTCTCGTCTCGGTCAAGTCTCTGAGCGCTATCTTCTACGGACTTGAACTCATCACTGTTCACACTCACGTTGCTATAGTTTCCAAATGGGTTTGACTCCATGCTGGATCTTTCTGACCTAAGAACACATAATGTTCATATAACGAGTAACTCTTGTTTAAAAATACCCCTGCCGCAGCAAACCTGCCGACTAAGCTAATTTCCAGTTGTCTGAAGTGATATACTAGAGTCACTTTGCGCCCTAGTGATGAAGTATAATAATTTTACATAATGATACCCCATCTTGACCACTTTCAATTTCATTCCAAGGTACAGTATCCAGGGAATCGAGGTGATCAAATGAATCATGCATTTGCACAAAAGTTGAAGTTGCAACATATTAGGCTAAGGTAAGTGGCATATAAATAATGCTTTATAAAAAACACACTTTGTCAGACTATGAAATTATGACGAAATTTCGGGTTGAGAGACAAAATTGAGATTTTATAGTACGTGATTGTCGTCTCACCTGAAACTCTGTCACACCTTAAATTTGTCCAGATAGCTTAGCCTACAATGAGATAGTCCAGGGCTCTAACGTGTTTGTTAATTAATTATCGTTTCGAGTTTATTGGCTCAGAATATTAATTACAACAATAATGCTTACAATGTTAAGCTTACCTTCAACAAGTGCTCATCATAGCCACTCGAAAAATATGTAAAGTTAAATTTTGAATTTTGAATAACCTATCGAAATGCGAATAAGCCTAGTTAATTAGAAACTAAACTAAAACGTGATTCGGTCGTTATACTTGGTAATCACCAAAGTAAACTTGTCGGGAAAATTAGACTCGGTCGATCACCAGAGTCGATACGGGGTTTTTAAACCAAATTTACGTAGGACGGTCCGGGGTAACGGGGTAAGTCGTACGTAAACCGTTCCGGCAACTTAACTGATTTCCGAAGCTGGTTTAAGATAAAAGGTAGTGTGCTCGTACGTGAAAAAGCGTGCGGGGTGCGCGCGACTGCGGCACAGTAAAATAAAAATAATAAAACTTCTCTAAAAATGAGATTAAACAAAATAAATTCGGTAGCACACTAACCTGATGACTTATGATTCTACCAGGAACGGGGGAAATCTTTAATTGACCAGAATTTAGGAGGTTATAGACTGTTGGATTGTCTCCAAACAGCAAGCGTACTGACGGTTCGGTAGCGGGTGGACGACTGACCTGACCGTGAGGTCTGCTCTTCTGGTCCTTCTTCGCCATCGCCCCTGGCGGCGGGGTAGGTAACTAGCGTCATCCCCTCTACGATGACGTAGGACCATTGCCCCTACGATGCCGCTGACAACGCGGGCGCGGCTTACCCCGAACGTAGAAAATTATAATATTTAAAATGAAACTTTTAAAAATCGGGTTTTTACCCCTTGACGGGTTTTGGGTCGTTACACCCCCTTCTTACTTCGCAGAGAAAAAAAGAAAAACGGAAAAAGAAAAAAAAAATACCCAAACCTAAGGTATTGTCGGCGTCTGCTGCGAAACTCTTGAGCAAGAAAATAACGAAATCGAAACTCTCCTTAAAATGGCACGTCGTCTCAATATATGTCCTCCATCGTCCGCAGCTTCTTCGTACGGATCCGGAAAAACGTTCCATCCCCCCTGAACACCTTCATCCTCTGATTTCTCCTTCGCCGCCTCGTGTCTTCCAACGGCAAATTGGACAGGAGGTCGCGCACCTCCTGTGGCACTGGCCGGCTAGTGGACGCGGTGGCAATCGGGGTGTGAGGCGTATCGGCGGGAGCATTGCGACGGGTGGCTGGGGATACCTCCACCAGCGCGACCGTGGCAACCGCGGGTCGATGGGGTGGCTCTGTTCCGGATCGGGGATTTGGACTCAGCCGCCCCCTCCTTAGCTGAATCCTGTGTGCGTTTCCCGCCTTACAATTGCATTTTGCGGTCGAGATGCCTTTGGTTTTGCAATAAAAGCACTTCCATGTTCTTGGTTCGGGGCAGTCACGGAACAAGTGTCCCGTACGGTCACAATTCCAGCAAACGTATCCATCGCTGACGTGGTAGGGTTTCTCCAGTGCCGCCCCTCTCACATTCGAGTGGGAGTTGGGCACGGATAGTGTTTGTGCCTTGGGTCGCGAACTCAGTCCTTGCCGCGCGCGGTCGTACCTCTGGTGCTGCGGGTAGGTCCGGGAGCTCGGTTCGCGCGGTGACTCAGCAGTGACTGCGGCGTTATCGACCGGACGTTCAGAACGCCTTCGCCCGTGATACGCGGTTTCAGGAATGAGAGAGATAGCCGGAGGGGGTGGAGGACGAAACGTGCTCTTATCCCTAACGTAGGACTCGTACTCCTCGGCACGCTTAATCAATTCGGTCAGAGTCAAGCAGTCCTGGCGTCGAACCATAAGTTTGTATTCGGGTCGCATATTCGTATAAATCAAGTCAATCTTATCGTGGGACGAAATGGATCCTCTCCTTCGAATTAGCGTGCTTAACGCGACTACAAAATCTCTGAACGGCTCCTGGTCACCCTGTGTCCGCTTACGAATCTCTTCGTCCAAGTTACGGCGATAACCGAATGGTAGATATTGGATTTCGAAATGGCTACGAAAATCCTGGAAATCGGCCCACGCTTCCCGGTTATTGCGGTACCATAACAAGGCGTTGCTAGTCAACAGTTCTGGCAGAGCCCTGAAGACCTGGTCTGGAGTTAAGGAATACGCCTCCATTAGCTCCTCCAAGCGTTCCAGGAACGATACCGGGTCTTTGCGACCGTCAAAACGAAGGTTCCACTTACGAACGACGTTGTAAATGGAGGCTCCGTCTAGCGATTGGCGGCTTGAAGGGCCTGTGTGGCTCGGTGGATCGGCATCGCGCAACTCGCGAGTTCCCGAGGCGTTAGGACGTGGTACCGCACCGTAGCACAGATCGGCATAAATCGTGGTAGGGGGTGCGGCGTGAGCGGGAACCGTGTCGGTCGCGTAGTGTCCCGTGGGAGTCACGTCGTTGGACCTCAAGGTATTCACCATTGAGGCGAGGACCCGTTTCACAAGCGTAGAGTCCGCATTCGGTGACAACCCAAGTATCTCCCGTACACTGTCACGTTCGTCTAGGGCGGGATGTAAGCCTAGCTTGTCCTTAGACGCGTATTCCGACCCGTAATTCGCCGGCGGGATATTAAGAGTGCGTGGAGGGTCAACGGTCCGGTATGGTTCGGTACGGGTAATTGTGGAGAATGGCGATCGCCAAAAATCCACAAAACTCTTCCTAAGTTCCTCAGCCGTACCTGCCGTAGAAAGGCCGTATTTACTCATCTCATTCTGCAGCTCCTCTTTGCTTAGTCTATAAATCCACCTGACGCGCGGATCGTCAAACGGTGTGCGCGGCACAGACGATTCCGTAGACCCACGGGTGGTAACGGCAGTGGCAGCGGTGGTTGCTGTAGCGACATACGTTGAAGTGGTGACGGCAGTTGTAGTGGTAACGGTGGGAGCGGTAGTAACAGCGGGAGCGGTTGTGACGGCGGGAGCGGTTGTGACGGCGGGAGCGGTTGTGACGGCGGGAGCGGTTGTGACGGCGGGAGCGGTTGTGACGGCGGGAGCGGTTGTGACGGCGGGAGCGGTAGCAGTTGGCGGTGGGTCATTGTTTTTGCGCGGGGGCCTTTTCCCTGATTCATCTGGAGTCAGCATATACATAACTGGGAAAAGATAAGTCCAAAGGCGCAAAAATAGTTCCCAAGGTGTCATTTTTAAATTATTATTAGGAAATACAACAGTCGACGATAATGGTTGTTGTCGAAAAAAATACGTAAAAGACTGTGTAACTGTCGTAAGGCTCGTCGCTAATCGCAAATGTTCAGTATAATATTTAAACCACAGATACAATACCCCTACAATCAATGTTTACAATCGAAAAAAGTAAACAAAGTTCCGATAATACGTTAGCCTAATGATCGTTGTGAACTAATTGTTACTGAGCAGTGAGCAATACAATAATATGTTAACCAACAATATTATTATATCACTAACGTATACGTAAACCGTCGTAATTAGGCTCAATCCAAAATATAATAATCCTGTATTATTATATTAAACAATGTTATTTCCTGTGTGTAACAATATTGTATTACAATACAATAAAACTGGGGTATTCTAATTGCTGTTAAATATTAGGACAACCAGAAGTATAACAATATGTTAATCAACAATATTATTATAAAACAGTTCTGATCCCAAATATTTAAAGCGCGTCAATTTCGTTATAAATATTACGCAATGCAATAGATGTAAATATTGTCAGAAATAAGCCGACTAGAATTGAAAGAACTACGGGGAAACTCCAATAACAAACCGTTATCAAACAGCTGATCGGGCCGCTCTTATCTCTTACCCATTCATACAGAGAACAATAGGCAAGCGCAACACTAGTGAACTGACAGGTCGACTAGCCTTCTTAAAGCAGAACAATTCTTACAGAATATTATGAATTAAATCGGAAGGCAGTGTTAACTATTTCCTACTTAAATAATTATAAAAGAATAACAATCAATTATCAGAGGAAATCTATAAACACTGGTATAAATAAGTGCGATGTATAAACGGTTATGTTCGAATTCAATTAAATTCCAATAAATATCCTGTAATTCTATTAAACAAACGTAGTAGGTTAAACAACAGTACTGACGTTCAATCGTATCCAGTTCTACGGTATACAACCAATATTCCACTGTAACGTCTCGTACACAACACTGATTATGGTAATGTTCGTATGTGTAATATTTATTAAATTCTGAGCCAAAACAATTAATTATCGACTATGCCTTCGGGCGCCATAAAATATCGTTAACATTCAATAGTCCCTGTTCGGGCGCCATTTGATATGACGAAATTTCGGGTTGAGAGACAAAATTGAGATTTTATAGTACGTGATTGTCGTCTCACCTGAAACTCTGTCACACCTTAAATTTGTCCAGATAGCTTAGCCTACAATGAGATAGTCCAGGGCTCTAACGTGTTTGTTAATTAATTATCGTTTCGAGTTTATTGGCTCAGAATATTAATTACAACAATAATGCTTACAATGTTAAGCTTACCTTCAACAAGTGCTCATCATAGCCACTCGAAAAATA